TCCCGAGTCATCCTGGATCAGGACCGCCCGGGGACGAGGGAGTCCGGAGAGGGTGCTAGATCCGGTGCGGAGGGGGGCCACAGAGGTCGGTCTCTTCGATGATGTCCACCTCGTCCTCGGTCTCCTCCAACAGGTAGGGGGGCGGCGGGTGGCCGCCCTTGCGGGGCTCCAGGGAGGACGAGGAGGAGGAGGAGGAGGAGGCCGAGGAAGCGCAGGGGGCGGCGCTGGGTTTGTCCGACGAGGCCGGTTCTGGCTCGCCGCCCCCCTGCTCGGCGCCCTCGTCGGCCCCCGAGGCTTTCGGGTCGTCCTGGCTCTTCCTCAGCTGCTTTTTGTGCTTCATCCGACGGTTCTGGAACCAGGTCTTCACCTGCAGGGAGAAGCCACCCAGGTTGGAGCCCGGCGGTCGTCTGAAGGGGAAGCAGGCCGCGCGCAACCCCGGGAGGGGAAATCCCCCCTTCCTTCAAAGGGGGCCTTCCCCGCCGCCCTCCTCTGTCAGGGAGAAGGAGCGCGGGGGGGGGGCGCGCACGGAGAGGGCAGAGGCACCGGCTAAAATAACGAGCAAGGTTGGAAAGGATTCGGATTTTTCCTTCAGGGTTTTCTTGCGCGTTCAGATGGGGGAAAGCAGGCCCTTCTCCCATCTCTCCCTGAATCTCACTTGTNNNNGGGAGAGGATTTTGGGGCGGATCTGGAAGCAGCTCCTCACTGACCAGAACAGTCCTCTCTGCACGTGATCAGAAGCATTCTCGTTTTCAAAGAAAAGGAGTCCAATTCACCAAACACGTGCACTAGAAAGCAAATGCAAAATGGAGTTTTGCTCCCTGTAATTAATGTTAGCTTTATCTTCAACGGTATTTCTAGAACTGGCCCAGGGACCCTTAGCTCGGTTTGCGAAAAAAGGCCCCCTGAAATTTGGGAAATTCCCAGTAAACGTAAAGGGTCCCGGATTGTCGCCTAGGTTTTTGGAAGCGCATTCACCTCTGGATAGCTTCCCTTTCCTACTGAGAGGGCCAAGGGCCGCGAGGAGGCCATGAGGGGTCTTTTCGGCTGCCATCAGTTTGGCAGAAATTTCAGGGGCCACGTTTGGTCTCTTGCACCCAGACTGACAAAGCATCTGGTAGCCCCGTGCAAGCTTATGCCAAACAAAACGGGCAAGGCTTCAGGGTGCCACAGGACTCTGCGTCGGCAGCTTCCACAAAGCGCCCTGCGTCAGGAAGGTCCTGCGTGATTACGAACCATCCATCCTCTGTTGAAGTTTTCTTCGGGAGCCTGTTTTTAATTATTTGTATATTTATTTCTATTGGGGCAGAAAATGGTTACAGGGGTTTCCCACCCGCCGATTCAACAGCATTTGTTCTAAGGCGTTCCTCCTCGAAGGTAACCCGGCCTGCTTGCAGGCTTCTTGGTCCGGAGGCTGCTCGCCCTTGGGCCAGGGACCGCGTGGAGGGAGGGTGTGCGTGTGTGTGTCTTTTCTGGAGCTCAGTTCTGCCTTTCCCTCCCGGGCCTGCCCGACCCTCCTGAGCCCCCCTCGGGCCCTGTCCTCCTCCTCCTCCTACCTGGGTCTCGGAGAGGCTGAGCGCCGTGGCCAATTCGACGCGCTCCGGCGTGGAGAGGTACCGCTGGATCTCGAAGCGCTTCTCCAGGCCCGAGAGCTGCGAGTCGGAGAAGACGGTGCGGGCCTTCCGGCGGCGGCAGTGCTTGCCCGGCAACTCCGCGTGCGGGTGAGGCTGGAAGAGTGCGGGGACCGGCACCCCTGCAGGAGGTGGGGGGGGAGAGACGCACCAGGACCGAGTCGAGCCATGGGGGGGCTGAGGACACCACAGCCCCCCCTCCCAACCACCCCCAAACTACAGCCCGTCTGAAAAATTAAGGCGGAGGGCTCCAGAGCTTGGGGAAAGGGCGCAGGGCGGAGTAGAGCTCCCAGAATCCCTCATCCATTCTGGGGATGCTGGGAATTGTAATCCAAAACAGCAGCTTCTCTAACGAGCCCCTCTAGATTGTCCCCCCACATCCCTTCCTTGGAGGTCTGTCCTTTCAACATGTCCGCGGGTAGATTAGGTTTCCCAGAGGTAGACTGCCTCTGTTACTGGAGGCTTCATTTAGCCGTCCCCGTGGCTCCCTGCTTTCCTCCTCTCCAGCTCCGCTTCCTGCAGTTGAACGCATCACTCCCCCGGGCGGAAAACAATAACGGGAGAAAGTCTTAAGGGCTGTGGCTACCGGGGCCTTAACCCTCTATTATTAGGGATCGAGGATGGTTAAAATGGAACCTCCAGCTACAGGCGCAGCCTACCTCTTTGGAGGCTAGCCGTTGCGCTCCGCGATCCGCAGCCGCCATAGACAGTAAACCTTGCCAGCCACCACTTTTTTCGTTCCCTGTTGATGGATTTTTCTTATCCGTGGAGACGGGGAGAAAGTTAGTCCCCCCATTTTTCTGCCTCCTGTACCTGTACACTTCGGTTGTTATGGGACGGGAGAGACGCACCTTAAAGGGAGGGGGGAAGCGGGCGTAATTTGCGATGGTGCCTCAAACGCCAACATATTTTGTTTAATTCCCACGCACCCCACGTCTCTTTTTGAGAGTGGCAGGCGCACCCCCTTCCCTCGCCACCTCAACCCAAATCCTCCATGTTTTCAATGCTGATCTGGCCACCCGAAGGTTAAAGAAATCCTCTCCATAATAAAACATGCTATTAATCCGCCTTCAACGCCACTTGCACTTTTCCGCTCCTAAACCCGATTTGGCGCTGTTTTTACGCACGTAGAAAGGAGATGGAATCAAAGTGACAAAGGAGTGAGGGACCTCGGCCCCGGGCAAAAAGGGGTCTGGAAGATGAGAAGCTCAGGCGGCCTCTTTGCCGGGGACGGCATTTGAATCCGGAGCTCAGCAGCTGTAACTCCAGTTCTCAGTAGCCCCGAATCGTCTTGTTTTCAGTTCAGGAAGGAGTTGGAATGTTTTTGTGTTTCGGCTCCGAATTGCAAGGCGACACCTTCTCTTTACCTCCAGCGCAAAGAAAATAAAGTCTTTCACTGTTTATTTGGAGGCACCAAGGAGGAAAAACTGGATCCTGGCCGGAAAACCACATCTCCTGTCACCTTGAAGGCGGGCGAGAAGGGCGAGAGACGGCAGTCCGCAACAGGTGAGGCCCCGCAAAACTTTAAGGGGTTACCCAAACTCTCTTGGTTCGGCTCCGGCTAAAATCCTCCCGCCTAGGCTCAGCTACACCGACATCACCTCGCTTTAAATTACGCATTTAAATCAACAGGGTTTAATTCGGAGTGGGTCAGCATAGGACTGCGTTCTCAAATTAATTTGGGGGGGGTGACCGTGGTGGGTCGCTCCTCCAAGTCTACTTTTCTCGCCCTGCAATCGACATAGATTCTGCTCCTGCCCTCAGATAACATCCGCCCCACGTGTGTTATGAGCAGGATGATGTTTCACCCGCCGTCTGTACAACATCCTTGTTAAGCAGGACTGCTTTCTCCCACCGCGCAGTTTCTTTACGGGACAGGCGGAGGGAGGCGAGAAGGAGGGAGCCACTAAATGAAGCCTCCAGCTACATAAGCAGTCTACCTCGGGGAGACCTAGCCTACTTGGTATCTAGGCGGCTCCAAACCGAGAAAATCTTGACTGTGAAAGATCTACGAAAGAAAGAGGAAAATCTAATAGGCCTGTCTTACAATTGCTTCGCCAGGCGGAAGTTCGATCGGTGAAATTTGTCCCGAAACGGACTAGCAGTGACGGGAAAAGATTGCCGGCTGAATTTCTGCCTTGCCAGGAATTAAAGGAACTTAAACAGACTTAAGTTTAACATCTGGAGGCTGGGAGGACTTGCTCAGAGGGTCCTCATCGCTCAGCTTTTCTAGATTTGGGGGCGCAAAGAAAAGTATCCCGCACACAAAAAAAACCCACATGTTTTGGAGCGAATCCGAACGTCGGAATAGAAACAAGCGGAAATGGTCAGGCGCTGGGCAGCGATTTAACAGGCGCTCCCTCTTTGAGGCTGTGTTCTGCTCGGATTCCCGTCTTTCAGACGAGTCCTTGGCAAAAGTTTGTCTCAGAGAAATGCATTCGCTCTACACGCAGTTCCGTGTACAGACGACCGTCTACTCGCGGGCAATTCTTAGCAGCTTGTGGGCGCTACGGTACTTCGTTACTTCCACACACCAATGGGAACGACTATACACAGGGGGGAAGCATCCTTTGAAGGCTGCCACACCTGTCTATTCAGAACTCAGTGTAGTTTACTCCTGTGTAAAAGATTGCAGTCCTTAATCCAATGGTTAGGACCTAGTGAAGTATACCCACAAGTCCCATTCATTCACTTGGAGACGCTCCTCTTAGCACTAATGCTTGGATCGAGTTCTTTAAATAGAAGCCTTTTACGCGGTTGGGTGTTGTGAGCGTTCTTCAGCATAAATCTGTGTATCTAAACCTCTGCCTATTTACTCGGAAGTAAGTGCCTCCGTCTTCTGCGAGGCTTACTCCTCGGGTAGGGCGCCTAGCATTCCAGTCGGAAGGACCGTGTCTTTTATACCTTTGAGCTGTCGAAAATTTACACTCCCCTAAAAATATTCTAACCAGTTGTGTTAGTTTTTAGTTGTTGAGTTCTCGGAAGATAGGACACATTTTAAAATTTTTTTAAAAAAATATTATTTGTTTTTGCTTGTTTTAAAGTTTTATCACCCAGTTTGACCGGGCGCGGCAGAGGAAATTGGAATAAAAACATTTTAAGTGGAACACACACACACCGGTTCGAATTTTTTAAACGAACTTATGGCGAGGACTTTCACAGCCTTTATCAAGCCGTTTGCCTCGACGTTCTTATATTTAATTTCGAATGACTCATTAAAAAAAACTGCAGTGGCGAATTTTGCCATGCCAAGCTTATTATGTGGGTCTACTCAGAAGTCAAGAAGGGAAGGCGTTCGACGGAACTTACTCAGAGGTCAGCTTGGATAAGGCTGAACAGCCTTCAACTGCGAAGCTCTGCCCCGTTGGAGGTTCAGCTCTATTGCGCTCAATGGGATTTGTTCCCAATTTTCTATGCAATTTTCTATGCAAAATGTCCCCAATTTTCTATGCAAAAAATAGAAATTAAGATTTCCTCATTCTGTTCCGGATTTACGGGATCAAAATACGTCGATGGCGAATAAATAAAATTAGCGCGCAAGCTCTGTCTCTTTTCTTTTTAAGATAAGGGCTTTTGTCGCCACCAATTAAAAAAAAAAACCTCACAAACCGGTTTCGATCCTGTTTCAAATTCATGAGCGTCCCCAAGCTCGGGTTTAACAAACTCTCGAACTAACTACGTCAGTCTCCAAACTCAGGATTAATTGATGCCAGGTGAAACCCAATATTTGATCACCTATCAAATGTGAGAATGGTGAACCCTATGGATGAAGCAGAGCCGCCGAAGGAAGGCGATTTCCGTGAATCTACACCGAAGTGAATCCTGTTGCTGCACTTCGGTTGGGACGAAAGACTGAACCTGGCGCTGCGGTATTCTGAAGCGGTGTGAAGTTGATTTGTCCGCCCTGCCCAGTCCAAAAGACCCCAGAAAAACTCGCGTTTGCGGCCCCACAGTTATAAAATTCGGATTCGGATGCAGAAGCGAAGGCAACGATTCACCGGGCCTTTTTTGTTTTTTTCTGGATGGGGAACTTGGGTTCTTTTTAAAGAGAACGGGGCGGGGGGGATAAAAATATTTTAAACAAACAAACTTTAACGTACGACTCCGAGGTCATTTTATGAGCACCGCGGGATCGGAGAATGGATTAAACCTCTCCTCCGAAAGCAGAGACAGAACTATGGGACTCTTCAAGGATTGTCTTCAAGGTGGATTGCCAAAGCTTCGCTTTCCGAAGCCCGGGAACCCGGTTGGAGAGCAGGACCGGCGTTTGGGCGCCCCGGGACGGCTATACTTCGTGTTCTGCCTCTTGTAAATGGGTAGGAGCCGTGCTCCTGCCTCGCCCGCTTACCCCGCTTAAGGAAAAAGTTGGGCGGCCGGAGGGCGTGGATGCAGGAAGGGGAATTCCTGGAGGTTTCTCTTTCTCCTTGCAAGCTCTCACCTCCACGGGTTCCTAAACGGGCCGGTGGCAACCTGGGGCCCTGGGAGCGCACCTGGCGGGGAAGGGTAGGAGGGAGGCACAAAGACACACGCGGGCGCGCACGGGCACAAGGGGAAAGGCAGGCCCTTCCAGGGAGTCCCACCAACCCGGGGGGGGGAGGAGGAGGAGGAGGCAATGGGGGAAGAAAAGGGGGCTTACCCGAGGTGGTCAGGAAGTAAGGGTGCTGGTGATCCGGCTTGTGGAGTGGGTGAGGCGGGTGAGGCGCCAGGAGGGCCGGGGGCGGCATCAAGGGGTACCCATAGTCCAGCAGCGGGACGCGAGGGGCGAGAGGGCTGTGGAAGTGCTCGGGGCCCACCTCCCGGAGGGGCTTGGGCTTGTGCAGCAGGATGTCCTCGATGAAGAACGAGGTGGGCCTCTGGGCCGCCACGGCGTGCGCCACCGCGTGCGAAGTGAAGTTGAGGTTCATCCTCGGGGCTTCCTGGAGACTCGGGGTGGCCTGGGGGGAACTTGAAGCGGGGTCTGGCTCCCCGCCGTCCCTCTCTTCTCCCGCGTCGTGTGGCCTTGGGGAAGCCCACCCTACCTCGAGTCCTGGGTGGCCTTGGAGGAGAAGCCAGGAGACCCGGAGCAAAGTGGATCTTGCCGGGCTTTCGGCGAAAGGGAAGGTGGAGGGGTGAGGAGGATGCTCTGCCTTTGAGGGCCGCTCCTCCGAGGGGTTCTCCGGCGAGCCAATCGCGAACCAGCAGGGCGGAGGGAGAGCCTAGCTTAGCGCGCGGCCACCCTCTCCCCTCTGCCTCCCAGTATTGGGGAAAAGAGGAAAGGGGGCGGCGCTGTCCGTGGTGCTGAAAGGGCAAAGCCGAGGGCACCCGCCGGAGGCAGGAAGCGGGTCCTGTCCCCCCGACTGGGGGCCGGAACACCCTGGAAAAGCTTGCTTCCCCTCCTGCTTCCACCCCCAAGTTGGAAAGTTCGCCTGCCTTTGGGGAAAGAACCGTTCACCCACCTTGGGGGGGAGGGATGGCCACGCGTTTTGCTGCTGGTGGACAAACCCGGCAGCCACAGCTAGCCAACACTTCCCCTTGTGTGTGTGTATACACATACACGTGTATGCACATGCGATCACCCTATATAGCAACAAGCATGGGTCGTTCTCAGCGCACCCCCACACAGGAACAAAAGCACTTTTCATGGCAAATTCGGGGGTCTCTTAAACTCCAGCCCTGGTCCACCCTGTGGCAGAGGAAGAGCTGCTGGTCAGGAAAGCCACAAGTCATAGAAAAGCGGGCTGCGTTTGGTCTGAAAATAGATTTCAAGGCGCCTACCGGCTGCTCCTCTCGTTGGGTTAAGGGAAAGGTGTGCAGGCTGTAGGGGGTCATGCGTCTTTCTGTTTTTTCAGGTAAGATATTTAAAAGGTAAATGGTGCAAAGTAGAAATGGAAAGGCAGGGAAGGCCTGGTCTTAAAGCCATGTGGTCTGCATGGGGACTTGAGATATCATGGAGGAAAAAAGATCCAAAGCCATTCAGAGGGAGTTTATTGAATGATACAACTGTATTAGACTTTCCTGGAGTCGCGGGAAAATCAAAATGTTTGGTCCTCATTAGGAAACCCACAGGCTCCCAGCTGTTTTCATCCTACCTCTTGTCTCTTGTTTGAAGAAGAGACCTGCGGCCTCGAAAGCTTGCACACTTGTTTGTGCCTTTTTGATTAGCCTTGTAAAGTATTCCCCTGGTGTGGATTTTGGAACTGACCTCAAACCTTTTGGGGAAGCTAGCATTTCTCCGTTGCTCGTCTGTGGGGTCGTGTGGAGTCCAACAAAGTTGACAATGATTATGCACATTGTTAGAGCGCAGTAGAAATCATCAGCAGCCGTAACCCGAGGATCATCTACCCTTGAAAATACACGACCTTTTGCAAACACATTTTGATGTGGGAAGGGAATCATTTGCTGGTGACAATTATTTTAAAATTATTTTTTTTTCTGTAACTGACTGTAAATTATTTATATTTATCTAAATTGCTATGTTTAACCCCATTGTTTTATGCTGTAAGCCACACTGGGGGAGAATGGCCTTGAGAGTTTGCTCAGAAATTCATTGAATGAATAAGATGCTGATGGTTCAGGATTATAGCCCTCCTTCAAAAAACTAACAGGTTCATGAATCCAGCTGGATCCTTTGCTACGATTCTGCCTTCCTACCAAGTAGACTCAAGATAACATGTGGTAGTTTGTAAAGAAGGGACAGTTTTACCAGGCCTGGCCATTGAATGAAGGTTAAGGTATTTCTTTGGCAACTTCCACACCAAACTCTCCAAGATAAATAAAGGTAATTTGTTAAGTTTTATTAAAACCTAAAATCCAAGTCTTCATGTCTGTGTTCCCCTGAATAACAATAACAACGACAATGACAACGACAACTAGTGTGACATTTCACACAGTACTATAGTCAGTTGCAGATCTCAGAAATCACACCATCAGAGCTACAAAAAACAGTAATATTAGGAACAGCATATACACTGCAATGATATTTAACAAATACTTAGTTTTTTTTTGTTAAATCCTGTGTCATATAATACCAGTTAATGTTTTTATAATTTTGATTGACTGTGCCTGGTGTTTTATCAACATAATCATCATGATCGTCATCATCGTAGAACGGCAGAGCTGGAAGGAGCCCTATGGATCATCCAGTACAGCTCCTGTAAGAATGGCACAGTGGGAATCAAACTCCTAACCTCTGGCTCTGCAGCCAGATGTCTAAACAGTTCATAATGAGAGTGGACTTCTGACAGCTAGACAGCTGGTTACTCGGCAGAATGCTTTTTCCTTCCTAGACCCATTCCATCTTTTGGAGAAGCCCACCTGCCAGTGCCACGTGCTCCTGAGGCCACTTTTGCAGTCCTTCAGCACAGGGCATCTAACTCTGCAGCACTCAAAACTGGGAATACCCTTCGGTCTGATATTTGACAAGCTCCCGAGATGTATGTTTAGATGCACGTTGAAAATCAATCCTTTTTTTGTTTTGTTCTTTTGTTTGTTTGTTTGTTTGTTTTGCAAGCCGCCTAGAGTGGTCCGGTGGTCCAGATAGGTGGGGTATAAATCAAATAAATAAATAAATAAATAAATAAATAAAGAAAGAAAGAAAGAAAGAAAGAAAGCCTTCCCTGAGTCAGCCAACCTACAATTCATGTCATAGAAAAATGGTTTCGATTCCATGCATTGTTTATGCTGCACATTTTATTGTTATACACCGCTTTGAACGCTTTAGATCAAAGCAGTTTGCAGAAATTCGTCAACAAACGTAGTGTCCGTAGAGTCCCCATTGGCTGAAATCCTGTAGCGTAGGGTGGTGAGGTTGCAATTAGAGTATGGGACACTGATTCAGTGGTTTACTCTAGTCTAACATTGGACATGAACCAACAGCATTTGAGCCACTGATTGCAATGGGATGCCAAGTGTGACTAGCAGAGCAAGACTGTGTTGCTAATGTTCCAAATCCTTGCCGATATGCCACAACCTCACTGAACGCCATTGGCAACAGTGCAGCTGCTTGTGTGGAGCGCTTTGCTTTAGTGCCTCAGGAGATCCTGGCCAGCATATCTGCCATGCTGGTGATGTGTGTTTAAATTCCATTGATGGTGTTGAATCTTTTGACTAGCATCTGTCAGTCAGTGTGCCCTAAGCTGGATGTGGGATATACTTAGGTTTCATCTGGAGTTTAAACTGGATCTGAGATTTCCGTGCCTTCAGTTCCCTAGAAAAATCAATGACACCCATGTCTTATTTCAAATGAAAAGAAGCTTGAAATGTGCGTGGGGGGATCTAAATTGCATGAAAAGTGGGATAAATTTCAAAGAGTGGGTTTCCATTGATGAAAATATGTTTGGTGGCCAAGTCCTCTGTCTTCATGTACATGAGCAATCACACACGATAAGGGAGTAATTCTAGATCAAATCAATAGCATTTAACACAATAGGTTTGATTACTTCTCTTGTTAGAATCTAGATACAGCAGACATCTGAGGTTCCCAGAAAGCCCCATCCAGTTCTAAACCATAGGCAGAGCTTTGCCCACCGAGAGATAAATACAGCACTTTTAAATTTATGTTGACAACAGTTCTGTGAGTTGGGTACAGTTAAGCATACTTAGGATATGTGTTGACCAGCTAGGATGTCATTTCCTGATACTGAAATTGTTCTGCTCCATCCAAGATCCATGGTTTTCTTACAAAAGTCAACAAAAAGGCTCACATCCTCTTTTTGGGGAAAAATATTAAACAAATTCTTACCCTTTTCTCCCCCTAAATCTGATTCATTGGAGAGCCCTGGGTTTCCATTACTGCTTTCTTTCACATTTTTCCTCCTTTCTTTCAGGCATTATCCCGTGGGGATTTTTTTCCCTCCAACTTATTCACTTTTTAATCTCTATGTCTCGCCCCCTTATTATCTATTTTCCTCCTCCTCTCGCTCTCCTTTGCTTGTTTGTGTGCGGTTTTTTAATATCCTTCCTAATCTGTAACATTCATTTCCCCCGAGTCAATTTGCTAAAATTAGGGTGATACACCACATCATCGCTGAGATAATTTCGGCTCGCATCTCAGAAAATTGCTCTAATTATTGATGTTAAATTCAGGGAAATTAAAAGAAGGCACTTCTCCTTCATCTCCCGATTTTAAGCTCTAATTTGTCAAAATCGAGTTGTCATCACAATTCCAGTCAGGGGTTGTTAATAGTCAAAATGTTTTAATAGAGCCAGAATTCTCACAACCCATGCTATTAGATAATTAGGAGGGATGTTAGACAGACAAGTGGTAATCCTTGGGTGCATGGGCAGAAGCTCCATCTAATCCAGCAGGTAGAACAAATTAATTACCAGAATCAATTAGGCTGAAAAGTACAGTTCTCTAGGAAGTGTAAACCATGACATCCATATGTATGAGCTGGTAAATGGTAAATAAATGGCAAACCCCTGAAAATAATAGAAACAGCAATCATGATAGTTTAATGAATCTGCAACTCGGAGAACATGAGTTAATGTTACTCTAACTCCCTCATGTTTGTCTGGAGAATAATGACAAAGACCTCAGGAGGTCTCCGTGTTCCCAAGATCACTCCACTGCTCTGCTGTATTGAATATTAAATGTACCTCGTTGTAATGTCCAGTTGTGTTCGACTCTAGGGGGCGGTGCTCATCCCCATTTCCAAGCCATAGAGCCAGCGTTTTGTCCGAAGACAATCTTCCGTGGTCACATGGCCAGTGCGACTTAGACACGGAACGCTGTTACCTTTCCACCGAGGTAGTCCCTATTTATCTACTTGCATTTGCATGCTTTCGAACCGCTAGGTTGGTGGGAGCTGGGCCAAGCAACAGGAGCTCACTCCGTTGTGTGGATTTGATCTTACGACTGTTGGTCTTCTGACCCTGCAGCACAGGCTTCTGCGGTTTAGCCCGCAGTGCCACAACGTCCCTATGAAAACATAGTCAACAACAAAACAAAACCACAAGCTTATCTCTGTCTCCCCTTTCCTCATCCAACAAGGAGAAGCTGTTCATGGCTTCCATTCAACTCATCTAGCTCACAAAGATGGCTGAAGAGCGTCAACCTCTGCCTAGCTAAACTGGGTTCCCCTGAACTGGTGAT